TAAAGAAATCACTTGGCGTTGAAGCAAAAAAACACGTCAAAGTCCTCTTTAACACCTTCCACATTTGCATACATTTTCCCATTAAGATGCTGTTGCAGCAAACAAAAAAAAATGGTAATCTGATGGTGCCATATCTGGAGAATATGGTGGGTGGGAGAAAACTCCCCAACCCAACTCCATAATCTTGTGTTGTGTCAAACATGGCACATGTGGATGTGCATTGTCATGGAGAAGAACACCTTTCTGATTGATGAGTGAAGGGCATTGCTGAGAAGGGCTTGATGTAAACATTCCAGTTGCTGACTGTATATCTATGCATTGACAGTTTGCTGTGAGGAGTTTGAAATGAATTACTCCTTCGATGCATGTGTTGCATGCAAATAGGCATGTGACAACCCTCTACCAACAGGAGTGTGACACACCCTCCTATCTTGGCAAGCTCCCTCTATACTGGTTGTACAATGATCATTTCTTGATTTGGCACTTGTGTGTTCACACGTCCATTTTTGTTCATGAGCATTGTTGAAATAGATGTTTTTTTTTCTTGTAGAAGTGTGTATACATCAAGACTATTTTTGTGGAAAGTTTGAATTTGAATTTTGCAACTTCATAATCATATAATTTTGCACCAGCAGGTTTTGTGGGCCTTCTGTTTTCCACATTATGAATTCTCAAGTTAGTTTCACCTACACTCTATATGGCATGGGATAGCAAGAAGTTATTCATGCTAGACAAACAACTATGGCATCAGAATCATCTCTGTCTGTTGAGGGGGCAATGTGAGATGCAGTCTTTCTTGTGGCCTGGACCTTTTTTTCAATCTGAAACTGATATTCCTCTTTCTGTGAATCAAGTTTGTTGAAATGAACATTTTGAGCTTTTTATTTTCCTCACCATAATACTCATCATGATTGTGCTATAAAAATCAGGTTAAATGTTATTTACTTGACATCTGCTGTAGTTGTACTGAGAAAATGGCTTTTGGTATGGGATGGGATCAATCTGTTAACATTTCCTTCAAAACATGAATATTAAAAAATCTGACATTGGTATCTGAACATTTCATGTGTTTCAGTGTGTTTTAGAGCAGTGTTTCCCAAACCACTGGTCCATGGACCAGTAGTAGTCCTTGACTTAATTTTTACCGGCCCACAATGTGTCTTGGCTTTTGAAAGCACTAACACTCATGTTTCTTTCAATATTTGATAACTAAAAGTCGCCTAAGTCTACCTTTTCTTTTTTCGAAATATAGTTTTTTTTTTTGTAAATATTGTGTTATTTTGTTTGGAATGTCAGTCCCCGAAAATGTTTTTGGAATTTTACTGGTCCATGATTACCAAAAGTCTGGGAACCAGTGGTTTAGAGGATTATAAAGAACATTTCAAGATGTACTTTTCACTAATAATACATTTCCAGTTTTTTAGGTAGTGTCTGTTCATCCTTGTATGTGTGTATATATATATATATGTATATATATATATATATATATATACGTATGTATAGTAGTATATATATAGTATGTATGTGTGTGTGTGT